CTTGATGATACCAACCTTCTTAATTGCCTACTTTGAACAGAAAAATGCAAGCTACTGAAGAAAAGCCAAGTTAAACCTTGACTTAAACACCTGCAGATAACATAAAAGGAATCCCTGTTAAAGCTCAGGTGAAATCCTGGACCTGCTCAAGTGCATGGAGCCTCCCTTAGATATAGCCATGCCCCTTAAACTGAAGATGTCATAATTTACATCAGTGTTACTCTGAACAGTGACAACTTCAGTGCACGGTATAGGCAAGTGTTTATCTGAAAGTCTAAACAATATTGTTAAACTAGATGAAAGTATACAAATGATGTGATTACCCACACAGATATTTTCTATTCCTTTTGTTGTTCATTTATATATACAGCAGTTAAAGATCTTGCTGTTAGGTGAGTCTCAGTGAGAAGACTGTCCTTTCAGGAGTGCATGGGAAAAATCAAAATTTGAAGAAAGAGAACATGCTTGGAAGAAAGGAAAAAAAACAAAAAACAGAAGAAGAATGAATTATGTGCTTTGCAAGAGCAAAGGTTAGGAACAAACACCAGAAAACCCGTACACCTCCTCAGAATACATTAATGTGATTGAAAGCCAGATGTTTAGCTGTGTAAATCACTGCACTATAATAGAAATCTGACTCATAAATCATTCTAATTTATGTAAGAATATATTACCCATAATTTTATATCTTTAATGTCCTTTTAAAATGTAACTATTAGTCAGGAGATGACAAGAGTTTACTTCGATAACATTAGTTTGGCACTCTATGTCAGTACGCAGTACGATACAGACTTTATCTCATCATTCTCTTCCTCACAAGTTCCCTCCCTAACTTAATGCACAAGATAAATAACTGGTGTTTTGTGCCCTTGGAGTACATTGCCCCACAGCACCAGTAATTTTTCAGCATGGAGCATGCACGTGCATGTGATTGTTTTTAAAATTCCATCCCAGGAGCGCTGTTGCATCCACAATACTCAACTGGAAGCAGTTCACTTCAGATCTATCATCACTCTTTGATTACTGAAACTGCCAGATAAAGCAGGCTACCAGCAAATTGAGGTCCCTCCTATTTTGGGCCACACCAAAGATTTGCATTGCAGGTTCATGACCAACCAAAGAAACTGCTCCTGTGAAAACCCTGGTTCCACTTTGTGTTTTGGAAGTATTCCTTTTATACTTTTCTTGCTTACTGACTTACTGTCTCTGTATTTTGGTCCCCATCCCTTGCTCAGCTTTCTGCAGTAGCCTTTCTGAATCATCTTCCTCCCTTCAGTGCCAGTTCCTCCTTCCCCTGCACGTCCCTAGCAACGCTCAGTCCCACTCCCCTAATTAAATCCTACTGCTCTCTCACTCAAAGCATTTTATCACAAATTCAGACCACTTGCTATCTCTACTCCACACAGCCAGCTTTCAGATTACTTAAATGCTACAGATATATACCTAGTAGATTACCCACTGTTAAGTGACACTGCACGTCCTTCCATTAAATACAAGTATATACCCATACAATTGCTGTATGTTTTTACTAATCCTTTCTTTCCGACTTTAACTGGTTGTATCTTCACATATCAAAGTGCAGTGCTCAATGCACCCCTGTCTTACTATGAGTAGATACCAACAGGTAGTTACTAGAAATCTACTAATCACATTACCTTTATTGTGCTTTAATCAAAGAATGCAAATTGTGGTTAAAATCAAAGACAGGACCATATAGTTCACACAATCTAGTTCTTTTCCACAATGAGATATTAATTAGAAACATAAACAAATATTTGAAAAAGAGGATAAATTTCCATCCTCAATCTTTGTTCAGTGAGGTATACATGCAGCATTAGAAGATGAATGAAGCCACAGGTCCTAATATCCAGCTTCTTAGGTTAAAAGTCTGACACTATCATCTTACTGTCTCCAATTCTGAGACTTCTGGCAGATGTTCTAAAGCAAATTGGAAATGGATTGGGGAACAACGAGCAGTAGAATATCAGGTATGTGTTGCCCTGAAGGCAAGTTGGACAAAATGGAGAGTTTTCTTGTTGTGGTTTTTTTTTTTTTTTTTTTTTATAAACTGCCTTTCTGACCAAACGCAAAACTTGGATGGCACATACGACACAATTGCACAATTTTCATAACTAAAAGCAAAGTTATTTTCACTTTCTTCTTTCCGGTATGTGCATTGCCCACAGCACTGCTGCAAGTGAAGGCAAGCAAGCAGGAAACAATGCATGAGTTAATGGAGAGAGGGCAGGTTTTGATATTAAAGCACATTTTGGCAATTTTCACGTGGCCAAGATACTTTGATTTATTTCTTCAAATACACAATTTGCTAGAGAAATACAGAACTGCTAGCATTTCAGGTCAACAATTTCTCTGTATCATTACAGACTTGCTTGGGATTTGATTTGCAAAACCTATTGTGTGCAAGTTTGCAAGAAGCTAAAGGAAGAAGTGCCAGTCAGGCTAAATATTCCATAGAAGTAAAATAATTTGAAAAGGTTATTAGTTGTGCTTAGCTTAAAAAGAAGCGAGTTAAGTTCATGCAAGAAATCACGACTTGCATATGCAGATCAAGATGGCATCCTTTCATTAAAAATTAAGCAGTTGTACTTGTGCAACAAGACAAATCTGTGATTAAATAAAAATGCAGTAAAAAGATTTTTTCAAAAAGTTATATAATTAGACAATGTGAGAATGTTGAAACTATCAGCAGTAATTAAAGAATAATTACATTGTTCACTGACTAAGCTTACAGCTTGTGCCTTATTTAAACTTCCTTTATTCTAAAAAAAAAAAAAAAACTTCATAAAGATCTGAACTGAAACACAGCATAAAAACACACAGAAAACGATTTATTTTTCAGACTCAAAAGAAATACATCTTGAAAAGAAATACGTCTATGGCTGGACCATGTGCAGCTCCAGCTTCCTAGATCTGACAGCTCAGGTACATATCTTTCTCCTGTAACCATCAGAAACAATAAGTTAGCAAGAAAACTAAAACATTAAAACTAGTTTGGATCTGAAAGTGAAAGCTGTTACTGCTCATAAAAAAATCCATACAGAATATTTACAAAACCATTTCTACTTGCATCCTACTCTGCTGAGTAAAACACAGTTCACATGTTACCTTTGGTAGCTTTCTTTTTAATACACAACAGATAAGCCTTTTGAATACCACAGATTTTTTTCATTGCTATCATTCTGTAGTCAGACTGTAGAATAGATCTGAGAACACACCGATATAAATCCAGCAAATGTACTGGCAAAAACACAACTGGGCTAAATCATTGCAGCCCTACTTCTGGTCAGAATGGTAGACTAGACATGGGTTGACAAGACAAAGTCAAGGTGGAAACAGCTGCAATCACAATTTACAAGGGTTAACTTAATGAAAGTCTCTCTGTGTATCTACTGTGAACGTGGACATTCTGCCTTTGGAAGTCACACAGTGTCATGCACAGCCCTAGCTGAACTAGGAAAGCTAGGCTGAGTCACAGAATGTAGAGAACAGTCCAATACGCTGACTTGGAGATACTAAAAAGTTGATCACCCTTGGATTGTGAGTGAAAATGGTTATAAATAAATGAAATTAGTGACAAATGGGATTAATCCAAGGGAGCACTAACAAGGAAGTTAAGTACTTCAAGGAAGTAAACGGCCCATTCTCTGTATTAAGGAAGGGCTGTGTAATACAAGGTCAGGTAGTCATTTCTACCTTTGATGTTTACTTAGGATCATCCCTAAGTAAAATCCCTAAGTGAAAGCCTCAGTGTCACCTGTGCCCCCCTTGCCACAAGGTGGCACATATGTACTCTTCATGCTGTTTAGCGTTTTAGCATTAGGTGTTTAGCATCTGCAATGTGTAAAGCATTCCATTAATTTCTAATAAGTAACTGTTATCCATTTCTATAGAGTTGCCTGAGTGGCAAGGGAAGCAAAGCAGGTAGTGAAAAACTGCATTATTACATCAAGTATAGACAACTAAATAATTATTGATTCATGAAATCCAAGCTTTCCTTCGTACTATTATGTACAGAAGTGTTTGAGATGTATTCTCATTAAGAGTGCAGAAGTTAAACAAGATTAAGAGGTATTTTAAAACCTAACTTCTGTAAGTTTTAAAAATACATCCATCAGATCCTCAACAGATTTTACAGGTGAAATGGAACACAGACTTTGAATAGCAGACTGATGCTAGAGACCAATACAAACACATAAGCAGAAAGCCAGGAACATTTATCCATTGCTTCTATTCTGGGGAGTGGAAGTCTGCTGGCCATCCACTGGCTGGTGCATAAGAGTTTTACTTGTATTGCTACAACAACTTCTTCCCACACTGCAAGTTTCAAGAACTAATATGCACCTATGCTAAGGAAGGCTGATCCCTAGTAGCACTTTTCCCTTGACGTTGATAAAGGTTGTGCTTTGAACATCGGTCTTTAAAACATCCAAAAATATTTTCATTTTCCCCCAGTGGAAGATCAAGTAAAATCTCAGTGATTTTTTTGTTGTTGTCGTTTGCAGTGGTCCCTCTTTTTTTTTTTAAGTCCATGACATAAAAGCAGGCAGCGCCAATCTATAACACAAAATATTCTCTCCACAATACATAGTGAACACACATTTCCTACATCCATCAGAAAGGCAACAAGCAGAGTATGAATCCACTTAGCTGCAGAAAAGATCTGAAAGAAAACTGAAATATGTGTGTGTGCCTAAAAGAGAGGAGAAATGTTTTTTAAGACAGAAAAATACTGACCTAAACCAAAGCACAGAAACACTAACTAGCACGCAAAGCAATTCTATCCACACATCATGGGATCTGTGTTTTTAGAAAGTAGATTCTTGGAGATTTGAAGTATAAACTATGTACATAGCTCCCTCTGATGACCACTGGACACGATACAATGCGAGCCTCCTTTTATTTTTGTTCGTGCATTCAACTGACAGCTGACTGGTTAAATTCTAATTGCTTCCAAGTGAGGTCAGCAAAGGTATTTATCGAAAAGGACTGAACAACAGGCTCTACACACACATGCACGCACACGCATAAGCACACATCTCTCCAGAGCGTTGATTTATGGAAACAATTATTATTTTGGTGGAGTCTTTCTGAGCTGAGAAAGTTTGTAGCTGCAGTGGTGTGTCTCATGTTGCAAAAAGCAGACAACAGAAATGGAATACTTGGGTATCCAGCTCTTATCAACAGGAACAAGTAAGTTATCTGTCCTTTACGAGAACGTTTAACAGTTTCTAACAGTTAATAGGCTTTATCTTTGTTTGTATATGCTAGATGCTAAAAATCATTAAGAAAACTTTTCATATTGATAAACTAAAAAAAGTATATAAGGAATAAAAACACAGGCTAAGACTGAAGTCTGTCTTGAAATTCAAACTATGGAAAAGTTACCTGATAATCGTGTTAGTAGCAAAGATATATGCATGAAGTAATCAGCAAATTTTACCATGCATGAGAAAGTATTTCTACTCTATCAGTAGGGGATTTTTGGAAGGACTTAAGAGTGAAGATAGAACAATGTTTACAGTCAGTTTAAATGTCTGTTTATGTATTAAATAAGTTACATGAAAGATATCTATTGTGTATACATTTGTATATTTGTAAGAGTCAGCTTAGCATGTCATACATTTATGTAAAGTACCTTTCAGTAGCATAATGTATCCTTGCACGTCTGTAACAACTGAGCATAAAGACTTACACATGCACCTTTTCTCACAGATCTTTTACTTTCAGTGCAAGCAGCAAATTCAAGTAGTACAGAAGGTTACAGCAACAAAGGTTTTTATAACTTGTGTCTTTAAAGGATATTCTGACTGAAGAGATATTTAAGAAGCTCTTCTATTTCGCCATTAACTATTAAGGAATAACGATCAGAATTCTAGAAGAGGGAACAATCTCATTTAAATGAATCTGTAACTCGTAAAGACAGAAGGCAGGTCGGTGACCTAAGAGCAACAGTCTACTTGAGATTTAATTTTCATTATGTTGTTCATGAACACCCAGAACACTGCACTATAATGCACAAATGGATACTGACATGGATCCTGCCAATTTTGCTCTACAGATCATACTTTTACATTATCTTTCTAATGGGCACTATATCTTTAGCTTGCAATGACATGACTCCAGAGCAAATGGCTACAAATGTGAACTGTTCCAGCCCTGAGCGACATACCAGAAGCTATGATTATATGGAAGGGGGGGATGTAAGAGTGAGAAGACTTTTCTGTCGAACTCAGTGGTATATGAGGATTGATAAGCGAGGCAAAGTAAAAGGGACGAGAGAAGCAAACAACAACTACAGTAAGTAGTATCTTTGCTTTTCCTATTTGACTTCTGAGTTTTTAAGAATTTACACACCATTGTTTCCCTATTCTTGATTTATAGTAATTTCAAAAGAATTTTGTACAGTGTGCTGACCATTGTATAAGATGAGTTTGCCAATTAATTCTACAGCAGGACATTTGTTATTGATTTTGAAATGCGTCATTTTAAATACTACATGGTAGATCTGCTAATGTATTAGTTACAGCTGGTAACTATTAGCAAACAGAGAGCCTATTTTAACAAGTGAATTAAGGTTGTAAGTATGAAAACGTATAACCACAAACTCTGCTTATAAAATACTTATGGAACATTAACCTACTACTTAAAAGTTTGGTATGTTTGAGTTAACAATTAAGATATATGCAATACTAGAAAGTTCAATGGAAAGAATTATGTAAACTGTCTTGCAAAATCTTTCAGAGAGCTTGCCAAGCCAGGGATCAAATCTATTATAGTTTCTGCAGTTCATTATTACGATGATCATGATGATCAAAAAATATTCTCTCCTCTTTCTTCCAAAAAGATGACTCATCTACAGAGAATGGACATACAATATTTTGCAAAGCTGTAGCAAATACAACTTTAGTACAGCAATTCTTTTGCCAGTTCAAATCTGTATTTTTCACACATATACTATATATCTCCCATTAATGACTACTGATGGCATCAATTTTACAATCACTATTTTTCATATCTTGGCTTTCATGTTATTATATAGATTGCATACTTAAATGAATATGACAACTACTTTAAAAAAGTAATGTCTTAAAATACAACAATAAAACACATAGGATTATATTGCATATTTCAAAATAAAATTAGAAGGCAGAGACATGCTGGTCTAGTGTTTATAGTCATCTGAAAGATCAAATTTCTTTCCAATGTGATGCTATTAAATACAGTTTTAATATAGGTCCCTCATACCATTGTATGAGCAAAATAAAAAAAGTAAATTAAGCACCCAAACTTTAAGAATTGTAGTGCAATTCATCTTGCAAATGAAGCTGACAACTTAGTTTCTATCAAAACAGCACTTTTCAATGCTAAGCACCTAGACAGTGGGCTTCTAAATTTATTTATTTCATGACTGCATTAATTACTTGTCAACTTGAGCATCTAAAGCTTCATTGAGTAATGTTACCATTTCTTTTAAATTTTGTTTCCATACGTCTCTTTTCTTCCTGCCCTATTATGTAGTGAACAGCTATATTGCTCTGAAAGACAACACATGGCCAGCAGCCAAATAAATTATTTGGTCCATATTCAAGAAGACTCCCATTGAGTTTCAGGAGGACATTGTTACAATAGAGATCCACAGTGCTAGTTTGGAAGTGAAATGTAGCTCTCAAAAATAACTGGAAGAACTATTACTGGTGGTTGAAACAGTTGCTTCTGATTTTTGCAGAGAAGCAAATACCGGCTGTATCCATATTTTTTTTTTTTCCTATTTTTATTTACAAACAAGTACTCAAAATATTATGGCAGCATATAGAGCTCAGTAGTTATATAAATTTGCCTTTTGTGTTTCTAGACTGCTTAACTAAGAACTCTGTTAGTAATTTAGCATTATTTCAAATTCAAGTAAGGTTTCTCAATTATCTGCAGGATTCCCTGCTGCTGAAGCATACTAGTGATATCCTGAAATGTTTCATGGTAAAAGCAGCAAAGGATACCAGATCATCATGTGTTAAAGGCAAACCACTTTTTTGTAGAATTCCTGAGCACTTTATGAAGATTTACTGATGGTAATAAACAGCTACAAATTACAGAAACACAACCTTGAGTTATTATACCCTTACCTTATGTGTAAAAACAAACAAACAAACAACAAAAAACCACCAAAACACCGAACTCTTTCAGGTAAACATAATGAGTATCAGAAGAAAAACAATCAACAAACAAAGGTTTATCTGGTAACAGATGCACTGTGATGAAACGTCATCAATAAACTTACTAAAGTATATGGGAAGTTTCTCACCATCTTAAGCTTGGGTCCCTCTCCATAGTTCAGCTATTGTACAGTAGGAAATAATATCTGTTTCTGTTAGGTAAGTAGAACAGGGAAATATAGACAAAGGGAAACAACAGTATGAGTACTGGATTTCTGAGAAACTCAAAAATTCAGCCTAGTTTGTTTGTTTTGCCAAATACTCTAATCAACAGCATGAAGCCTTTCTGAATATGTGCTTAGGGCTCTACATTAAAACACACACACAGAAAATGATGGGAGAGGGAGGGGGGAAAGAAGACAACCTGAACTAATCTGCTTTCCCTAAGCAATTTTTGTTTGGTTAACAGCAGATTAAACTGGCTATTTTTATGCAGGATTTCTGAAAAGCATCATTTAAAAACTGTATCCATTACTAAAAGAGATTATTCTGTGTGTTCAAACATTCCTGCTTTGTGAACTCCAGTTCTGAAGTTTTAAAGTTAGTAAAATGTAAATCAAACCTATTTCTTAGGATGGAATCCCAGTACAATTACAGCCAAATTAATCAACAGGTATGAAGAACTGCTCTGAGAAGCAACTCCAAATTTTATCCTAATTTGCCACTAGCATATTCTCTCTCCACTGAATCATCACTAACATGGACTACTAAAATGAAAATTAAAAAAAAAAAAAAACAACACACATTTTTCCACCACCATTAAAGAAACTGCATTGACAATCTTGCAGAATCAATGACTTGTTTTCAGCCCACGAACTGTGAAGCACAAATACTGTGAAGAGCAATCTTCACAATTAGAAATCGTGAAATTAGAAGCGTCTGTAGAATGATACCTTCATCATTCTACCTGATACCTTGGGTAGGTGCCAAAATTCACACGGCTTTTCTCAGTCAAGACTACATGCGTAAGAATGCAAAGATGGTGAGGAATTAGGGTTTCAGATTTCTCAAGTAACTCACAGAATAAATATGCACCATATATACATAATGCAGATTCTATAAGAGCAACAGCTGAAAAAAACCCTTAAGAAGTTAATTTAAAAGCTGATGCATTAAGCGTGTGTGGGTTGAAATTCCATTTCATAACTCTGGAACAAATCTCAACTCACTAATAGCAATTAACCTGTATTCATCATTCACTTGTAGAAGTTAATTGCTTAGTTCAAGAAAGGTGTGTGCTTTATCAGTGAAAGCAAACTGATGAATCCCATAACAGTGATGGCCTTGTTATGTACCCAAAGAAAGTTGTTCTATGTATGTTTCAGAAAGCAGAGGAGCCTTTTGGTGGACACGAAACTGGTAACTCAAAAGTAAAATAAAAAACACAAGAGTAAACTAAGTAAATTTTCACAAAGTGGAGGAAATAACTTTGCACCTCATAGAAACAGCTCTGAAGACTAAAACACGGAGTGAGAAGTGTCACACACTGACAAAACTAAAGCAAGAATTAGAAAGCAGCCAAAAGATGAGAGCATCCAGAAAAATCTGTTATTATTCATAACACATTTATCTCTGACAATCGCTAATTATACTGTCTAAGCATAACCACTGGCTTTATATTGAAAAGTAAGTTTTGTATCTTGTTCACATAAAACAATCTAAGTAGGCACTGAAAACAGACCTCCAAAATTAGCGACTGAAAGTGAATGATGGAGCAGATCATGGAGATAACACAGCATTTTGTTAACTCCTCATCTTTGACAGAAAATAACTCTCCTAAATGCTGCTTAGTTTTTAGTTCAAGTTTGTGTCTATGAATTTCATGATTTTATTTCTGTTCAGAAAGAAGGAAAGCAAAAATCAGAGTTCATACTGACTCTATCCAAGAGGATTTAAAACTACAACTGGATGATGCTTTAGGACTTTCCACGCTCTGTTGCTTTTGGAATCTCATTTTAAAGACTTCAAAGGGTCTCTTAGTTACAAGAAAATCCTTCCCGGAACCTGAATCCTAACATGTCTGATCCTATCATATTCCATGTGCACTCTAAATCCAGAAAGTGTCTGTTTCCTCCTCTTTTCAGTGGGTAAAGAGGACCAAAAACATAAGGAGAAAAAAAAAAAAAAAAAAAAAAAAAAAAGCCTAGTGATATCTAGGCATGAAATGGTTGCAATCTCTATTCAAAATTTTATCCTAAAATAAACATGTACTGGAAAACTATTTCTATTTTGATCAAAATCCAGCATCTCATAGTGTTCAGCAAAATTAAATGGAATCTAACTTGGTTTTGTGCAGATGTAACCTGTTGACAAAATAAACCTTATCTGCACCTCAATGATTAAACATTCAAATGTGCTTAGAATTCAAAAGTATTTTCAGTAGTAGTTTTTATATGCTTCTTGGGCAAAAACAGGTACTGGTATGCATACTGTGCTGTCACACCAAATTCTATTTCTATGTTTATATACACAAAGGAGAAGATTCAGTATTTGAAAATTGAATCCTTTAAGGCAGATATTAATGTACCAGATTCATTCGAGGGTTATTGTGCTCCAGCCATGCAGAATGCCTGCCTTTACAACTGCATTCTTGATTTTTGAAGAGTTTGTTGATTCAACCAATATGTTGGCCTAAGTAGAAAATAAACCCTCACTCATGTGAAAGTGATTTTGCTTCACATTACTATGCTGCTAATCTTTTCAATTAGTATAACAGAAAGATTTCATTCAAATAGCAATTTCTGCATATCCTCTAGAAATAGCCTACAATGCAAGTGTGACATTCTCTCTAATGAGGTATTAACTGGATCAAAACACAAAAATTTTTTTAGATCTTCCCAACTTCTAGCTCTTTGTCCAGCACTAGTGATAATTACCGACCCTGAGGTTGAAACCTGTGATAGTCTGCCTATACTTTTATCCATACCTTATTAAAAACCCCTGCTTTTCACCATTAACTGTTGCTGAATACGTTTTAGCAAAGATGCAGTTAACAGAGACCTCTGAGATATGTCTGTCCCCCAGCTTCTACTGACTTTTTGCTAACAGTGCCCTCTGGGAGAAGTAAGGAGTAAAAAGGAAGGGAAT